ACTTCCTTTTAACTTAATTATCTTTTTAAAGACCATATCTCCAAATAAAGTCACATTCAGAGGTACTGGGGGTTAGGACTTCAGTGTGTGAATTTGGGGAGGTGGGGGGGGGCACAGTTCAGCCCATAACAGAGGGCCTCGGTAAAATTTTTCTAAAAATACTCAGTTTTTAAAATTTTTTCCCTTAAAGGCAAGTTAGGGCACTCACTTGGCTTTGAGTGGAAAACCAGTTGAGTGTCTTCTGGAGACAAATTATTGCTTTTTTTAAAATGGCCTTATCAATAGGGACTACAGTGTCTTTTGTTTATTTTTATTTTGGAATCTCTGAAGGGTCAGACTTCCCTACGGCAGAAGGCTGTTCACTTTACACACATCGTAATGTGTATAAGGTGACAATCATGTTCGCCAGGATCCTTTTCTCCACCAAAGGCCAGGTCCAATATGGAGAAAAACTCGAGCAGCACAGAGAGGCTTGTCAGAGGTGGGATGTGTTTGCCTGGGGACAATGCTTCTTCCTTTTTATTTTGGAAATAGGAGCAAGGTCACAGGCACATTGCTGGGCACACCAGAGGAGTATCAGGTTACAAACAACGGTGTTGTAACAAAGCACACTGACTTTAGTAAAATAGATTATTGGTCTCTCTGGGGTTGATTGACTGCACTGAAGTCCCCAGTTAATGGTTCTCTGTATTTGTGCCCTTTTGCCTTGTCACTTCATAGTTTCGCTCTGAAGAGGTCGGCCTGTGATTTGCTCTGTCCCGCAGGATGCAGCAGGAGTGGCAGAATGCCTGTTTCAAGCCTAGGCCTTTAGAGGCCCTGTGCACTTCCGTTTACTCTCTCGACCAGACAACAAGCAGAGGCCCGAAAACTGGAGACATCTAGAAAAACGATGATCCATTTTATTTTTTTTTTAATATAATGTTCTATGTTAATTATACCTCAAGGTTTTTCTTTTTTAATTAATTTATTTAGTTATTTTTGGCTGCATTGGGTCTTCGTTGCTGCGCGCGGGCTTTCTCTAGTTGTGGCGAGCAGGGGCTACTCTTCGTCGCGGTGCACAGGCTTCTCCTTGCGGTGGTTTCCCCTGTTGCGGAGCACGGGCTCTATGCACGTGGGCTTCAGTAGTTGTGGCGCGCGGGCTTAGTTGCTCCGTGGCCTGTGGGATCTTCCCGGACCAGGGCTCCAACCCGTGTCCCCTGCATTGGCAGGCAGATTCTTAATCACTGCGCCACCAGGGAAGTCGCTCCATTTTAAATAGTGCAAAACAATTGGTAAAACCATTGCCGGTAGTAGGTTGGAAGACAGAAAATGTAGCTTGTGAACTTTTAGATTTGAGCAATGCGATTTCCAGGGAGAACTTGCAAATGTCTACTACTAAAGAAAGAACTGGCTAGTTTGCAAGCTGAATTGAAAGGGAATATAGAGGGTGTGGAACAGGCCAGAATGGAAAAGAAAACTTTCTTATCTCCAGTGAATCAAGCCAGTAACAGATCAAACTCAAGGCACTGCCAAAAAGATAGAAGCTTAGAGTAAAACACAAGTCAAACCTGTGGTTATAAGACCTTTGAAAGAATTAAAGCAGTGCCTAGTATACCCTCTCAGCTGGACAAGAGGGCTTCTAGGAACTTTAAAGATTCTGTCCCATAGCAGCATGAGTACCAGAAGTAGCTGAGAAAAAGTCTACAGAGTCTGGCATGTCTCAAAAAGAATTGGTGAAATAGAGTGGATTTAAATCAGATCCAAAGTAACCCCAGGAACATTTTTAAAGGAAGTGTGAGGCGAAACTGGCCTCAGGCTGAACTAAAAGATTCTAAATTAAAGTTACTCAAAATTGTAAAAGGCCTCTGGGTCCCCAGGGCTTTATAGCAGGAAAAAGGCTGAGGGTGTCACACATTTTCCTGTGCCCTCATCAGAAGTGGTGAAGGAGGGTGATGGGAAAGGAAGATGTCCCAGTGGGAGGAGCCAAAAGCCAAGGAGAACAATGGAGGGGAGAGCCAGCTCCATGACCGTGACCATGACCATGACCATGACCATGACCATGACCATGACCATGACCAGCGTGTGAGAAAGGGGTAGCATGTGTACTGCGAGACTTCAGAATCGTCAAAGGCCTGTGACTTCCCATCTTTCCCCTCTTCAGATGGCAGAGTTCATTGTAGTTACCCTGTGCTTGTTTCCTTACTGTATGTTCAGCGTGTGGGAGGAAGATTACTTCTATTTTTAGCTCATAAGCCTTTGGATCAAGAGGAAGCACCTTGGGACGTGTTGTTAGTCGCCTTCTGCAGGTCTTGGAGGAGGATGGTGAGCATTACTGCGTGTGAGCATCTGTGGCCAGAGAGTGGACTGTGGTTTACTGACTGCAAAACTGATTCCAATTCTCTATGCATCCCTGTATCCCCAGTGTGGACCTGACGGCTCCATCCGTCAAGACGTGGAGTATATTTCCCCAACCCTGGAGGCCAGGTTGTGACCACGCCTGGGACTTCGTGCTCCAGGTCGTTCCTTTGGGTGGAGGTGCTGGGGCCAATCAGTTCTCCAGCCACTTACTAAGTACTCAAAGCCACCCTCAAGGTTCCTGTTGTTCCTGGTGACGCCTTGCTGGCGTAAGACCAGGGCCTTTCACTCTACTCAGGTGGAGGCGGGTTGTCTCAATAGGGAGAGAGCTTGCTAAGGAAGCTGAGACTGTGGGGAGGTAAGCAAAGCGGGATAGTTGAAAAGCTCTCCGGTGCTGTTGCCCCGGCGATGCCCATGGCGTTCCTCAGCAAGCTGCTCCACTTCCGCACCTGCGTTTCGCCGAACCAATGGTACAGGTTGAGCCACCGCTTCCATGGTTCTGTTGCCCTCGTGCACTGCCCTCCTCGGATCTCTGCCCAGCTTTGAGCAGCACCCAGGTCTGTGAAGAGCCTTTGGCTGTGGGCCCTCAACCAATGCCAGCCCTTCCCCCCTCCCTTTCCACTCTGGGCCTCTGCAGCTTTGCTCAAAACTGTTCCCACTGCCTGGACTCCCTTTCTCCTCCTCCTCCTGGGAAACACCCACTCAGACTAAAATGAGAGTCAGCTGCCACCACCGGCTCCTTCCTCTGTACTGTACCACCTCTGTTCTAATACGTGCCGAGACAGATGTCATTTTTCTTCCGCCATTTCTATCACTACCCGCAGACTGGTAGCTCCACAAAGGCAGCAACTATTTCTTCTTCTTTTTTTTTTTATCCTTAGAGCCTAGCAGAGTGTCTAAGATTGAGGAGGAACTTACCCAAATACATAAAACAACTAAAACAGAGAGTCCCGTTCAGGATTTCCTGCTAAGTCTCAACCACGCCAATCTCATCCTACCTCCCTGACTCTCGACACTAATGACCTATTGTTTCCCAGTAGTACATTTCTCTACGAAATGGAAATGGACTTTTAAACTGGAAGAAAAATTCATAAGGTGTGCACTTTTCTTCATTACTCCCCCATCACTACCTGTGTTGCAGGGAGAATTGCAGGTGGTGTAGCAAAGGGGAAGGTGAATGTTCATTTAGGACATTTAAAACCTGGTTGAAAAGCAAAACGCTCTTCCCATGCCATTGCCTCGTGTGGAACCATAACATGGCATCCTACGTTTATCAGGCACGTGGCATTTTTGCAGTTTACTGTGTGCTTTTGCTTAAGCTCTTCTCACTTGGTGACAAAGTAAATGAAGGCAGAATTCTAAAGCCAAACGGGGTCTACAGTCAAGTCACTGGCATGGTGTTAAGGGGTTCTAGGCTGAATGGTGCACTTGGTGTCAGAAGGTCTGAGTCTTTGGAAAAATATGTGTCAAAATTCATGGCCCATCACATTACAAACCAGCCTGCTTTCCCTGTTCTCAGTGTCTGGATGGGCTATCATACCACCCTATAGTAAATGCTATGATGAGGGTACTTGCTAGTTTTTGGCACAGGCTACCTGACCCTGGCTTGGAGGAGCAAAAAGCCTAGGGAAGCTGAGTCTGCAGGGTTGGCCTAGAAGTGTGGATGTGTGTGTGTGTGTGTGTGTGTGTGTGCGTGTGTTGGGCATCAGTTGGCAGAAGATAAGAACGGGCCAGATCCTGAAGGGCCTTGGGTACCATGTCCATTCACTCACTCAACAAATATTTACCGTGCCCCTATTATGCCATGCACTGTGACCAAAACGTGTTACCATAACTGGGCTTTTATTCTAATAGCATGTAATAGGCAGAGTTCTAAAATGGCCCCCAAGATTGTCACCCCCTGGTACCTTCGGTGTGGACAGATCCTCAGAGTATGAGGGAGTAACACTCCCATGTGGTTGATGATTTTATGTTACGTGACAAAAGAGATTTTGCAGATGTAATTAAGGTTGCTAATTGGATGGCTTTGATTTCATCAAAAGGGAAATTATCTGGGTGGGCCTGATGTAATCACGTGAGCCCATTAAATCTGGGTGGAGAGACCCAGGGAGTTTTTTCCACTGCTGGCTTTGAAGGAGGATGAAAGTAGCCTGTCAGGAGCCCAGAGGGGCACCCTGCTGACAGCCAACAAGGAAAGAGAAACCTCAGTCCGATAACCTCCAGAAGTTGAATTCTGTTGATAACCTGCATGAGCTTAGAAAAGGACCCTGAGCTCCAGATAAGAATGCAGCATAGCCTATACTTTGATTTCGGTCTTGTGAGACCCTGAGCAGAGACCCCAGGCACACCATACCCAGACTTCCGACCTAGAGGACTGTGAGCTAATAAATGGGCATTATTTTAAGCTGCTAAATTTGTGATAAATTGTTATAGAGCGATAGAAAGCTAATTTAGGACATTTCACCACAAATTCAGATTTGACTGTTTGAGCATCTTCTATGTGCTAGGGGTGGTGCTGGGAACGCTCATATATGCTAAATTATCTAATCTTCCCTTTAATCCTTCATGGATGATGGTGCTTTTCATCAACATCACCAGCACGTTGCAGGAAGGGGGACCCCTTCCAGGGCCCAAGAGTGGCCTCTTGTCTAACACTCAGAAATGAATTGTCGGAGGAGACACACGTACTGACAGAGCGAGAGATTTTATTGGGAAGGGGCACTCAGGCAGAGAGCAGCAGGGTAAGGGAACCCAGGAGAATTGCTCTGCTACGTGGCTCGAAGTCTTAGGTTTTAAGGTAATGGGGTTAGTTTCCAGGTTGTCTCCAGCCAATCGTCTTGCTTGGCCCATAGTCTGACTCAGGGTCCTTCCTGGTGGCGTGTGCATCTTTCAGCCAAGATGGAGTCGTCTTATCATTTTTTTTTTACAAACTTTTACAAATTTTTTATCATTTAAATTTTAAATTAATTTTAATTTAACAAATTTTTACAATTTTTTTATCATTTTACAAATTTTTTTATCATTTTCACTTTACAAACTTTATTAAATAATGAGCATTACTAACTTTCATTATCATATATACAGTATTTGAACTATGTTTTCCTAGATGCATAGTTTTTTGTTTGTTCAAGCCCTTGATCAAACCATGCCTGAAGCTTTGGCCACTAATGGACTTTTCATGAGCCATGAGCTAAATCATTTCCTCTAGTATTTAAGCCATTTTGAATTGGGTTTTCAGTTCTCTGCAAGTAAAACCATCCTGATACATTACTATTCCTACGGGATAGATGACAAAATGAAACTTAAGGAAGTTATTCCCGGAGGTCACAAAGCTAGTAAGTTGCAGAGTTGAGACTTAAAACCCAATCCTTTAGCCCCCAATTCAGGGCTTGTTCTGTTACACAAAGTGCCTCGCCCAACTTAGCTTTGTCCCGTCCTAACTGGTAGAATACCTTCACTTCTCTCTGAAAAAATCATTCTCATTTTAGGGATTCCCACTTCTCCTCATTCCTGGAAAGGGACCCCCAGCTTCACAATCTAAATGCTTCCACATCTCAGTTTCCAGCACCATCCTATGTCCCAGTCTTCTCAACCACAATTTAAATCCAATAACGGCAGAACTCTTCTTTTTTCACTCACTGCTTTTTCCTTCAATGGGTCACAACACAGCCGTCCTTTGGAAATAAGCACAGACCTTTCCGGTTAGGTGGAGAATGGGGCTTAGACCAGCACAGCAGGTGAGGAAAAGTGCCTTCCTGGTCTCTAAACACCCATCTGAGCTGGTCTCAGTCTCTGAGGAATGTCTCAGGAGGTGGGCAGTGAGTAAACAAAAGAGAAAGCCCAGACATAAACGAGAAGCCCGCTCTTTAGCAAGAAAATGTCCCATTAATCACTGTCAAGACACCTCCACCTCCCAAGGGACTGGCATCTGAAAGAAAATTAAGTAACCAAACACAAGTTCCTTCCTGTCAGTGGAAGGCAATATTATTAGCAAATTAGCAAACATATCCATCAGTGATAAAAGAAAATCAATGGGTTTTGGAGTTTTACAAAAACAGGAAAAAGGTTAGAACAAGCTACACATCCCTTATAGAGCTTGATGTCTCTCGCACAGCGATTAGGGCCCCGGCCAGCCTCACAGCCCAAGCCCCGCTTCCTCCCCTGGGGAGGGGCCTTACCGAATTAATTGCTGCATACCGGCTGGCCAAAGAGCCCCCTCATCCTGGAGTGGGGAGTGCCTTTGGGGGCCATCACTTGGAAATCCTTCTGGAACATGTGCCTGGTGGAGGAGGAAAGGTGTGGATCTGAAGGTGCCTGGTGATGTCACCTTCGAGCGTTTTCCCTGCCTGGCAATGAGTGGCTGGGCAGCTGGGAGCCTTCAAGTGACTAAGGGGGCAAGAAGGGGTGGTCTAGTGTCCTGCGTTTGGAAAAGTAGGGGGACATTTGGCCTGTACAGAGAACAGCGAGTCAGCCGGTGGTCTGGGGAGGGGTTTTGCATTATTAATGTCTTCTCTTTATTGTTTTTTCTTTTCAAGAATCTGATAATAGTTACAGAGCCTATTGTTAAAAACAACAAAAAAACACATTTTCTGGAGATTCACACATACTTTGGGGGCCCAGTTACTCCAAAAAACCCCTCGTGTTAAGAAAAATCACTCTGCTCTGGAGGCAGGCCCACCTGACATCCTTCTCAATGAAGTGTCGCGAAGGACATGAACCTGGCACTCTGCATCAGGGTGGCCCAGGTCGCTTTGAACTAACAAAGCGGGCCTTAAATCACGGAATGGAGCATAGCCTCCTTCCGACATCTGGAATTTTAATGAGGTAGGAGCAGGCAGACAGAGTCAGAAAGCGTACTTTAGGGCTCATAGAAAATCTTTTTTTATAAGCATCTTGGTTGATTTTCCAAGCATACAGCGGGCACTTTAATAAAGATTTCTGTAAGTTAATTTGTTTTGGTGAATAGACGACCATTGCTAAAATGTCTCCACCTGGGATTTTTTTCTCGTGCTGCCCAAGAGGAACCACCAGAAAGGGCAAGGGAAGTTAATTCCCACTGTCCAACCCCGCAAGACACAGCTTGGGGCAGTTGGGCTTCTCCACAGGGAGGACTGTGGGCTTTGGGACACGCTGGGGGGAAGCCTGTAACTGCCATGCTTCACCAGTTTGGAAGTGAAGAGAGGCACGGCCAGAGCACCTCTGCGTGGCAGCCACATGCCCCACTGGTGGTGACTCTCGCCCTCCTGACTAGGTTTGCATTTCATCCTCTTTATAGGCAAACGTAAGGTTTTTATGAACACTGACTTTTAGAAATGAGAGGTGTCAAAAGTAACCTGAAGGACAGTATATGGTTTGCATGCTTTTGAGTCAGCATTAGGAGAGCTATAGGCTTACTTTTATGCTACTCACTTATTTTATCGCGTATTAATGCTTATTTAATACCTGCCCTTTACCAGGCACTGTGTATAGAGTGCATGAGTTGGACAAAGTCCCTGGTTTCTGAGAGTTTGCAATCTAGTGGGGAAGACAGCTAGAGAAGGCTGTCTCTGCAACATATGACAATTGCTAAAATAAAGGATAAACAAAACATTATGGGAACACAGAGCAAAGACCTTTTACCTGCTCTGGGTGTAGGAGCTTCCGAGGGGGGTGACACTTGGCCCCAGAATGAAAGCGTGACTAAGAGTTGAACGGGCAGAGGGGATGAGGGTGTGGGTAGAGCAGGGCACGGAGGGCGTTCCGAGCCAGGGGCACAGCGCGGCTGACCCACAGACACACGACGCCTCACGACAGCAAGTGTGAGCCGAGTGTTCTTCCCCCCTCACCTCCCCATCTGAATCCTTCCTGCTGATCTGCACGTTTTGATTTCGACAACAGTTTCTCCAGAACGATTTCTCTGACTTTCCCCACCTCGCATCTTGGGACGCCCTTCCTTTTCTTTCTTTCTTTTTTTTTTTTTTTGAGAGTTTTTTTTTTTAATTGAGATATAATCGACATAAAACCTTGCATTAGCTTCAGGTGTACAGCATAGTGATTTGATATATGTATAAATTACGAAATGATCGCCAAAATAAGTTTAATTGGCGTTCATCATCATACAGAGTTACAGATGTTTTTCTTGTGGTGAGAACTTCAAGATCTAATTTCTTATCAACTTTCAAATTTGCAATACAGTATTGTTAACCATAGCTACCACGCTGTACATTACATCTCCAGGACTTACGTGTCTTATAAGTGGCCGTTTGTACTTTTTTTTTTTTTTACATCTTTATTGGAGTATAATTGCTTACAGTGGTGTGTTAGTTTCTGCTTTATAACAAAGTGAATCAGTTATACATATACATATGTTCCCATATCTCTTCCCTCTTGCGTCTCCCTCCCTCCCCCCATCCCACCCCTCTAGGTGATCACAAAGCACCGAGCTGATCTCCCCTGTGCTATGCAGCTGCTTCCCACTAGCTATCTACCTTACGTTGGGTAGTGTATAAATGTCCATGCCTCTCTCTCGCTTTGTCACAGCTTACCCTTCCCCCTCCCCATATCCTCAAGCCCATTCTCTACTAGGTCTGTGTCTTTATTCCTGTACTTTTGACCCCCTTCACCTATTTTGCCCGATCCCTACTCCCCACCTCTGGCAACCACCATCTTCTGTATCTATGAGTTTGGTTTGTCTAGATTACATATATAAGTGATATCATACAGTATTTGTCTTTCTCTGTCTGACTTATTTCACTTAGCAGAATACTCTGAAGATCTAACCAAGTTGTCACAAACGGCAGGACTTCCTTCTTTTATGGCTGAGTAGTATTCCACTGTACGCATGTACTACATCTTCATTATCCACTCATCCATCAGTGGACACTTAGCTTGTTTCCCTACCTCGGCTTTTGTGAGTAGTGCTGAAATGGACATGGGGTTACAGATAGCTTTTCGAGATAGTGGTTTCATTTCTTTCAGATCAGAGGGGACTCCCTTCCTAACCACTACCCCTGCCTGTTCACTGGTCTGTGTTCTCCATTGCTGAAGCCCCATGAAGACAAATCAGTGTTTCTTTTGCTCACAGTTTTCACCCTGGTGCTGAGCGCACTGGCATATGGAACATGGCCTGCAGTAATCTCTCAAGAAATACCTTTGATATGATTAAACCAAAATTTCTACAAAGAGTCCATTATATACATTTTCTAACAGGAGTGGGAAAATATGCTACCATGTGCTCAAGCTCACTAACTAGTGGCTTAATGTGAACTACAATTATCAAGCATTTCCATTAGGCGAGATCTAGTTGAGAGAAGAGGGGCTCTCAAGACACAATCCCAAGAGCAAGTCCTGTCTCTGTTACTAAGGAGCTTGTAACCTTGAAGGTACGTCCAGGCTCTGGGACTCATTTTCCTTCTCCGCAAAATGAGGGGATTTCAAAATCGTGTTTAATGCTAGTTCCCATTCTCACCCATGACTCTTTGCGTGTTTACTGAAGCCCAAAGCAAAGCCTGCATCCAGAATTTTTAATACAACTGGAATCAACCACCAACACATTTGGAATCAACCACCAACACGTTTGGAATCTTCTCTTTTGAAACAGAAGCTTTCTTTTTGCCTTTCAAATAAAAGCTTTATGTTGAGCCCAGTTCTCTAAAAGAACCCAGGACTTGCTCTCAGGGAATGACATGGCACAGGTGAGGGTGTGGTGAGAACAGAATTGGTAGAACTTACTGGATTAGCTGAGGGCAGAGGGGCTTTTGTGAGGGTGTCGTTCTGTTTCCTGAGACCTTTAGGAATCTTAACAGTGTGGTTCTGCCCCAGAGGGTGTAGTCTATCAGCAAACTCCAGACTCAAGGCACGATCTCTCAATTCCACTACCACCCAAGGACTTCAGGTATATTTGAAACAAAACAAGCAAAACCCAAACACTGCTATATACTAACGGCAGAATGTCTCTCACTTATTGGGGAAATTGCAGTTGCATGCGCCCAAACTATAGAAATGACCTCTTCAGCTGCAGAGCCTACCGATGTTTTAAATTTGAACCACATTCAATAGATGAAAATTGCTAGTTGAATGCAAAGCATTTGCCTCCCAGCGATATTAAGGTGCCAGCTACATTCAGGGGTTTTTGAAGCTGTGAGATCCAAACAGGGTGCCTCCGGAATATGGGATGAAGTTTAGACTATGTCACCATCTGGACTTGAGACTAAAAAGAATCCAGGTAAAACTGGATGATATATGCCTCCTTCCCTCTAAAAAATTACACACCAAAGACTGATACAAGTATGTTGCTAGTGAAGCTAGAGCATTTACAAAATATTAAACCAAGGACTTAAGAGTACCTCCCCCAAAGGAAGACCTTCATTTAGAATGCAAAATGAAAGATAAGCCGTAATCCTGGACACTGAAGCGTATCTATTAGGAGGAAATAATGCCATTACAGAAGCTTTAATGACTGGCCAGGAATACTGGGTAAGTGGCGGAGAACTGTGGGAATTTGTTAGAGTGCCTTCCAATGCTGCTGAGAGGGGAGTCCCCTGTCCCTCTGGTCTGCGTCCCCCCAGTGTAAATCAAACCTATCGAGCAGTCACGACACGAACGTCTCACTTCTTTACTGGGCAGCATTCTGATTTTGATTTGGCGTCTCAAATAAACTTCCGTATTAAAAAGAGAACATGCTAACAGGAGCTCCGAAGGGCCTCCTGGTGAGCTCTGTTTCTCAGTGAAAATCGATGATTTGCCATTTTGATCTGTTAGGCATCTTAGAAGTTGGGTATGAATGAACCAGGCCCCCACAAGCAGATAGACTCTCCCTGAGTGAGCTGACAAAGGTTCCTGCAGGAAGCAGGCCTCGGGGAAGCCGGCCTTCATACACTTCCTCACTGCAACACCAAGCTTCCAGTGACCATGGGATGAATGGATGCTTGCTTGGCAGGATGTACATTCCAACGTGTTTTCTCTGAGAGGAAGCGCATTTTCTAGAACGCTAACCAAGAGGATAATTGAAAAAAACAACCCAAACTCTTTATGGATAGGAAAGATAACCCTAATGACGCTTTTGGTGAGGTATAGGTTTTAACATTTGCAATAGAGGATGAAGCCACAGCAATCACCTTGGAAATCATTCACTAGATATTTACTCAGTGCCTGCTATTTACAGGTAGCATGAGGGCTAGCAGGCAGAAACAGGCACTGCTTTCCTGCCAGGAACTTTCAGTCTAGGAAAAGAGAGAAGAAAATGTGTATAATAGAGAGTAGAAATGGTACGCACTATAGAAGATATTGAAATGTTGTTAA